TCCAAAACTGGAAATCAAGAGGGTCTTAGTATGTTGGTGTTGATGATTTAAGCTTTGCATTTCCTGTTTGTTCTGATAACTCCTGTATTGTTTAAGAATTTAGGCCCCAAAGATATCCCTTCATACAGGTGTTAGAAGTACTTTATTGGTATGAAGTTGATATGGAGTACTATTATATCTCTCTTCCCACTTTAATCACATAAAACAAAAAAGTGAGATGGGGGGTCATTAAGAGCTATCCTGATACCAGGTCTTCTATTCCTGTTAGATATGGGAGACCTATACAGATGTACTATGTAGTAATCTAATTAATGCAATGATGTCATCTTTATGTAAGGCAATTCAGATAAGCTAACAATTTGTAATAGTAATTTACATTGATTCACTACAGATGGACCATTCAGTGCTTTCCCTATTGCTTCATGCATTTGCTCTCATTTTATGAATGCATGACTCAAGACATCTCTTTATGCATAATATTTTATAGATATTTTTACAAGTCATTTTTAAAACTTCCAATTCTGGTATTCAGTGACATGAATATTATAATATGGTGTCATTTTTGACTGGGAGATAATAGTTTTTATGAACAAATTCAGAGAAAGGAAGATTTTTTGACCTTAAAGTCTATTAAATCTTGATCTATTCTTTCCCTCAGTATTTTTCCAGGAAATTGTTGACATTTAAAAGTATCAAAATTGCATATAAATATCAAGAGCTAGCATGTAGCACAGTCTTTCAGTGTAGAAAATTCAATTCTTGATGTTCACTGTCAACCTGAATTTCCCAGATGTACATTTTTGATTCTATAAGCTAAACATTAATTGGATAAGGATGAATTCAATGCCATACTCTAGTAAAATACATGTCATATAGTGTGACAGTATTACTGTAAATGTATAAATTGATGTTTGTGACATCACAAAACACGTTATAAGCCCACAGGGGGGGACATGTGCACTTCCAGCTTGCAGTACGCCAGAAACGTGCGTAAAAACCACTCCAATACTAATTCATGGGGGAACATCTCAAAATTAATATAAATACATAAATAAATATTGTATTACTAAATGACACAAAAATATACTTATGTTCCTGATAATTTCTATTTTATTTGAAAAGTGTGTGTGACTACACATACTGTTTTTAATAATCTTCCATGCCTATACTTCACAGATTGGAAGCAAGATTTTAAGTACACACGTAATATCAGAGACAGGTACTGGATCAACATTTTGTGAGGTCATATTATGACATCATTTCCATTTCCATATCTTCAGATTACCTGAAAAATAATGTTTAATGCGGGGTTTGATTTTATCAATACTGTTCAATACGTGTTTAACATGCAGGGATTGAAAGAACAAGGTACGGTTTCAATACAAATCTTGCCCTGTGTTTTTCTTAAAAATAAAAGTGATGTAAAAAATTAAAACTCATGCTTTTTGAATTATTGAAATTCCATGCAGAAAGATCATACAAATCTTTTTTCTCACATGACCTTCCAAATGCTAATTGTGACGTCATAAACTTGTGCATTTTCCCGTATTTTCATAAAAAGTTGCAGAAGACATCAATTTTCAATGGAATTTTCTTTCAGATAATATTGTCCACATGCATCGCCCACAAAGATTTTGAGATATGTGATTTTTCAAAGAATTTTACAAAACATATCTGAAAATTAACGTGGGCGACGGCTGTGGACACTATTTTCTTAAGGGAAATAACCCTTGAAATGGGTCATTTTGAGGCTTTTTCTGTTTAAAATAGAGAAATGCATCAAATTAATGACGTCATATATCCAGAATGGTACTCCATCATGCTATATTCTTTCCTGATTTATTACAGTCATATACTCAACTAATATTTAAGCCAGTTTCAAAACTTTTTGAAAACATTAAATTTTTAGGGCACAATAAAGCTAAAACCATACCTTCTTCTTTGACATCAGTAAAATCAGTTGAATCTTGTAATCTTAATGACACAGTCTGTCCTTTTATGTTTGGAGATTAATTGTATGGTTTTATGGAGCTTCTTAAAAGAAAGCTGAAAATTGTAGATTATGCAGATGTAATTAATGATTTATGTTAATTTCATGATAGAATGGCCCATTTTTAAGGATTTTTTTTTCTGTGTTGATTTATTATGACAGTGCATTGTGTATTGGGATCTGTTTAATGGCAGGTGATAGCTCTGCTAAGGGCTGATTGTTGGAGAATTTTTTTCAATCCATGTACGCACTTGAAAATTAGGGTTTTTGAATATTAATTATAACCCTCATTTTTCATAGAATGAGTCCCAGAATTTATTTGCATAATTAGTATTAAGTATATAGTACTTTCAGTGTTCAATTATTTGGATGATGGTGGCGGTGTTGTGTTTTATCTACATGATCTACCTACTAGACTAATACACTGTTGTGGTCTATAACTCTCTGGACTTTTAATTATCACACAGAGAGGTTTTAAGATGAAGTCAACAGAAATACAGTAATGGTTTATCTACAACAGGTCAAATAAAGAAACAAACAACAATATCTTAATCATATAGCATTTGGACACTGTAAACAATGTGGAATATTTTATATCTGGTGATTTGACGTCATTTCAATTGACGATGTGGTATTAAACTTTCTGGCTTTGTCATTATGATTAATTGATTCATCGGGAAAAGCAGAGTAAGGTCTCGCGTCATTTTATTTCCATATCAAACTCCCAACTCTACATAGGGGACATCACACATGCAGACATGTAGTATTCTTACTCTTAAGTTTGACATGATAATTTGTGACATGTATTTTACATTAGTAGATTTCTCATTCCTTCTTGTTTTTATTTTGTCTGTTTGTCTATCTGTTTCTTTTTCAGTAGTCTTTTAAATATTAACAGGAAGATGCAGAGTTCGTTTTGGGGTTATAATTTTGTTATATTATCATATTTTTGTACCATAGTCAGTCAGTCTTGTTGACTTTGATGGTTTGTCATTTATAATTTGTAGAATGATATAACAGGTAATAAATGGGGGGAGTGTTTTAAAATTAGTGTTGTCTTGCACTTTAAAAATCACTTACAATAACTTCATTGTCATACTGATACAGATAAATGTTCATACTTACCTGTATACATATGCATTGTAAAACTAGAGGAGTTATATTTTTTTTTAGGGTTCCTATTACAGAGAGGGCATGAAGGAGGGGGGAGGCTTGTGACTGAGAGTTTTTTCGGGGGGGGGGGGGGGGGGGGGGCAAGAGCATCATTCCCCTTCCCTCTTTTTTGGTCAGAGTAGTAAATACAAATATCTATGAAAATTGTATGAAATGGCCTTTTCGCTCATGAAAGAACTATGCCAGTCAGGTAAGATGCTTTTAAAACAACTAAGCCCCCTTTTTTTTGGTTGAAATAATAATGAATGCTTGTTGTGAAGCATAATGTGAAATGACTTTTTTTTTCTTGTAACCAAACTAGGAAACCCATCGTGGCTGTGTGTTCTAGCTGAGTCTCCATTCAGGCTTTTGAATTTTTGGTTAAGATGGGGGAATGTAATTTTACTTGTACAGTAATTTTATTGTACTCACTAGACATTTTGTTCTATTTATCTACCCTCAAAGAAACTTAAGAAAATTTCCAGTTTATACAATATAATTCTCTTTTGGTTCCATTTTGGGGGATGTGTTTTATCTATCAGTGCACATACTTCCCTCATATTATGTAACATTTCCCTCTTAGGTCACTTTAGGATGTGGTTATATGCTGAGGCTGTGAGGGTCTACTTAATGCAGAGTTTTCTTTCCTAACAGGAAGGATACCCCATGTACCTATAGTGGTGTAATGTTCTATAGCTCCCTCCAGTGAGGTGAGAGTAATTCAAACAGATGGACCAGACGCCTGATTTTTCCTTGAAATATGTACTTCAGTGGGAGTGCACAATTTTTGGATCATGTTTTGTTTTCAGTTGATTAACAGTCTAGGAAGGAAGTCTGGAAAAGTGCAAACCAAACTTGATGCACTCAGTGTATGCTACCAGTAATTCATGAGAATTTAAATCACAAACAATTAACATGATTAGAGAAAAAACTACCTAGCTTGATTAAAATGTGGTCAATGATCTATCAGCCCTTAATATTTGTTTTTATGCTAAAAAGCATGTTAAGATAAGTAAAAAAATATTTGAAAGATATATTACTTATATAAGATTGAACAGATCTATACCTTTGTATTAAAGATGCAATTATTATACACCTATTTACTGGTTAGGAAGACAAAAGCAAGTTTGCTGTCCTCTGAGGCAGCAACTATTTCCAGGCCTTTCAAAATCTGCCAGTACCCAGTACTTTTACCCAGCTGAAATTATGATTGTACTGGCCATAATATTTGTTGGAGAAAAATTTGATCATATATTTAGTTAAAATTGCTTCCTCAAGGTACCTCCTATTTTTATAAAAATACCACTTGTTTCTAATCATTTTGAAAGCCCTGTAATTCCCTCGGCTGCACTGAGAGAAATAGTTGCATGGTGTCATTGAGGGGAACTATGAACTTGCTTTTATCTGAATACTCAGTAAATAGGTGTTATACTATAGCGAAGCAGACTTTACTTTTGTTTGACCATAGGCAAATAGCACAAAAAAAAAAAGGATAGAGGCTGTTAAGAAAAAAAATTGCAGATTTATTCATTTTATTTTTATGTAGAAAAAATACAAAGAGGTATATAATAAAAATTTATATAGTTAATATGTACATAAATTCAATTTTGGATAGTGTTAAGTTTTTTTTAAACATATTGAACAAATCAATAAGGATTGTGAAACAGGCAAAGCCTATATATACCCTGTCCTTGATAAGTACATGTAATAACTAATATGAATATATCTCATTTTTTCATCTTATCACATAAACTTTCTTTTAGTTTCCATAGTGACATTAAATTGATGCAGTTTCTGTCAGTTTGGTATTTTATTTGTCTGGTGATAATTATTTTTATGCAATCTTTTTTTTTTTCAGGACAAGTCTAAGAAACCTTCAATATCCTTTAATGGAAATCAAGGGGTGAGTTTAGAATCGATCCATTAAATTAAAATAAAAATAACTCTCAAGACTGTATTTTCATTATCTAAACTAATTATAATTGGGAAATCTAACATTTTGATGTAATGACAACATATATCATTTTTAAGTTTGGTTGTCACCTTTGAACTTTATTTAAGATGGCATTAGAGTTTTAGTAAAGACCGTGAATGCACAACTTTGAAAAGGTGCTGTTATCAAATGTAAAGCAGAATTTTGTTTGAATTCCTTTCAAATCTTGTAAAGCAATTCTTTACTTAAAAACCTGTCAACATCCAGCAACTCAGCCTGAGATGCAGATTTGTTTTTGTCAAAGTGGAACAACTGCTGGAAAATCAAATATTGCACACCAAAAATTTAGCATGCCCAAAATTAAAAAAAATCTGATAAAATCATATAGTTTAAAAATAGTTTTTCATCTCATAAAAAAATGAGTTCCTTAATGCATAAATGCTCAACTTGAGAGAAAGATTCAGGAAATATTTTGCCTTCAAATCTCATTCAATACAAGGCATCATCTGATATTTTTAGTGGATTGTTAAATGTTTTATTGTAATTAAATATGTTGTTGTTTTATTAATTGTATTGCATATACTGTAGTTGTACTTTTTTCCGCATGGGACAAATTTTCACTATGTATGTATTTTCCACAGAAATTTGTCACACTGCGTACTAAAGATTCATTAAGGACATATAATGACAATCCAAGATATCCACGTAATTTTATACTCGCGGATTAAACAGAAATTGTGATTCCGCTGAATTATGACCCCATGGAATAAAGTATGTTTACAGTATTCAGGTTACTAGTTGAGAAGTCAGGGCAGGTCATATATATGTAGAGTCTTGCACATGTACAAGTAGAAGCTATGTAACATTAATGAGATCTTAAGCATCCCAACATAATACAGAAACTGTGTAGAGTCTCAAATCCCAAGGTCATTGACAGGATCAGCCAGACACTATAGTATCAAGGCCTCTCAGACAAGACATGGCAGCTTACAAACTCATCCTTCAGACTCCAGAACTGCCTTCATAAAATCACAGGTTCTGTGAAAAAAAAAAAAAACAATACAGCAGAAAAAAAAAGATTGAAGTGCTGGTTATGAATTTGTTAGTGTAGCTACATGCATGCTGATGGCTGAAGAAGTTATGTAATCAGTTGTTTTCTATACATTCTCATTATTAAATATATATTTTTAGCCCCTTGAGCTTAAGAGTCTCAAACGTTCCTTTCCAAGTTTCTGGTTGAAGATTGTTGTCAGTTAAACTTTAAGGCATTCAATTTTACACCAGATACAGTGCCCTAATTTCCACTACATTATTTTAAAAAAAGGATTTATGGGATGCAATAGCTTGACTTTCACACCATTAAAGGGAGTTAATGTTTTAAAAAGAATTATTTTTTTTCAAAATAATTTAACTTAATTGAAATAATAAAACTTATATGCAAGCTACTTTAAAAAGGTAGATTCATTGTTAAGATCAGGATGACTGACCCCATATACAGAAAAGGCCAAAGTACTTTGTGGGTAGGAAGACCTTCCAGTAGCAATGTTAAAATTCAACTTCAAGGACATCAGAACTTCAAATTATCATTAGTTAATACATGTATGCGTTGCATCCTTGTGTGGTGTAATTCAGTTCAGTCTGTGGTTCCCTTGGTCAGATTGGAGCCACATTAGGATATATTTAGGTTTGTGACCCAGTCTCGTTTCCTGTTTTAATATTTGTTTACATTTTGGATTTTATTATGTGGGTCCATTCCACAGTAAAAACAAAGTACATGTATCAAGTGTGTTAGAGAGATCAAAAGAGTAGAGCTCACATGAGTCCAAAACAATGTCTGTTAGGACTCGTTCAGAATGGGCCATTTCTGTAGCATCCTAGGTTCACGAAACTGAGGAGGTATGTACACAAAGTCATCACAAGTGATGAACTGGGAAAGACCCAAAGTCTCTACAAAGACTGGGAAGCACAAATTTAGGTTAGTTGTTGCAGCATCAGGATAATCATTCATAGGTGCACCAGGTTTGTGATAAGCAAGAGAGTCATAAATATAGGTCAATGCAGCTTTAGATGTATGCATAATTCTTAATGTTGAGCCTAATTTTGTGTCTATTGTACATATTATGGACAGACTGACATACTGTCCCAATGAAGGCTTTTCAAACAAACTGTTGTAGGGAAAATGTTACATAGAACAACAGCTTTATCATATCAGTTATTCATAGCAGAAGAAATTGAAGCATTTAATGTATACTGAAGCCGCCAATAATCTTGCTATATAGTTGCATCCATAGTGCGATTAGTGCATGCATTTTACTGCCTTACTTATAGACTTAAGGCTGTTTACAATTGAGGGGTGATTGTACTGTGTAATTGCTGTGTCAGATGAGGTTGTCTACCTTATACAGGTACTTGTCAGGAAGATGTGGAAGGAAGCTAAAATAAAGAGTAAATAACACTCTTGGGTTCTGAACTATAAACCTTTTAATGATATACTATAAGCTGTAAACACAATCCAGTTTCTGACTCTTCTGGAAAAAAAGGGGGAAAAAACACCACCACTAGAACGTCTGATGTAAACACTGTAAATATTTTCTTTTCTGTTCCCTCCTATTATTTTGATTTGAAATGTGTTTCGTTTGCTAAAGAGATAAACAAGGCTACATATTAAAGTTTAGTCTCTGTTTGCTAAATATCATTTATTCACAATTAAGTGTAAAACATTAAACATGTTAAAAGTACAAACATATGCACTTGACTGATTTCCTGCGAACTGTACAGATAATTTATTTGTACTTTGCAAAAAAATGCACTAGCATAAGATTGTATATAAAGATTTAAAGTACATGTGTGTATTGAATTATTTAAATGTAGTTGTTTATGCTCACTCAACAGTTGACCTTTAAAGATAAAGACCACAGAGGTTCATTGAATAAATAACTATATAAAGCAGAATATATTATATTGTAAAAAGAAAATTTCATGCATTCTTGATTTGCTTTATAGTCAGAGGGAAAAAAATAGACTGTCCCTCCGTCATCATATGACACATAGAAAATTAGAGTGCAATGATGATTTGTTTGTTATTGTAGGTCATCAACATCCCAGCACGGGACTCTGGCAACTCAAAAACATTCCAGTTCAGCGTTTCCAGTCTTGGGGATGCTAATGGCTTGGACTGTGTCCAGCAAACAGACTCCAAGTAAGGGGGAGATGACATAGACTTCAGATTAACAGTGCTGTTGTCCTTACAACATCACAGTTGTCATAGTGACTTCTCTGTTGACATGTTATCAGTGTAGGCTTTAAAGTATCAACTTTTGAGTGACACTATATATAGTTAAATGTGATAAAAAATCTTATGTGTTAGCTGTATAGCCCAGGCCAAAAGGGATTAACTCAGATAGATGTTATATATAGCAATGTTGATACCCACCAACAGTATGAGATGAAATCAGAAAGAAAAGCTTATTGAAAGGCCTAACGCCAGTAATTTAGATGGTGAATCTACTACAGCTGTTTCGCATGAGAAGTATTTTTTAAATAAAATTATCCAAGTTTTACTGGAAGACACAGAAAAAAGAAACAAAATACTTAGTGTAGAACGGGCTGTGATGGAGATATTGAGATAAGTTTGTTTTTTCAGTGAACTGATGTAATATCTACAGTATCTCATTCTAAGTTTGTATTATTGAAAAAAAAATTATTGTATCCATTTTCTCAGTTTGATAATACACTCCATGAACCCTTCAAACAAGGAAACTGAAAGTTAACTTTCTTCATGGATTAAGTACTTAGGCAATATGAATTTGGCCCACTCTTAAACTTATATGAAGCAGACATAAAGATGTTAACTGTAAAATTAAGCCCTTAAATAACATTGTTGTGGGAGTTAAAATCATCAATAAGGAAGCAATAGGAATTGTACAGTTTTCTTTTGCTTGATGTGATAAATATTTAATGTGGTATGAATGTAATACTTTGTTCAGTGACTGAAAAAAATCTTGTCAGACAGATATATGAACATCAAAAGCCATAAAATGCTTCGTTAAGTGCTGCATTGCAACTCCTATTGTATTATTATGTCAATGAATCTCATGTGAATTTACACAGATTATAAACATTGACCAACAAAAGCATTATTTGACCTTGGTTTGAGATGCTCAATGTCTGTAACTTATAAACATGACAAGTGGCCCACTTCTGTATTAGGATTTAATTGGAGTGTGATCCAGTGTTAGGTCATACTGTTTGTTCTATTGAAAGTCAAGCACCACCTAAGCATGCATTGTCCTTGAATTAGTCCTTGATCAACAAGTGCAGGTGTGAAAGCATAGGTATATATAGCTTAATCAGATATTGAATGGGAGATCTGAACTTCTAGAACATGTACGAGGGTTAAAAAATTGATCCAAAAGTAGAAGTGTCACAAATGATATAAAAATTTTTAATAATCAACTGTTATCAACAAAATCTGACATACTAATACCCCTATCTCTTTTAATTTTTGCCTTAAAGTTTCATTCGATTATATAAGAAACTTTTTATAATATTAAAATAAACACAGCGTTAGGTTTTGTCTATCACCGCACGGCAAGAATGTTACAGACATCGTTGTAATGTTGCTTTTCGGCACTCATTTTCAGTTCATCTGCATATCTTTTTTAACCTCTCAGGTGCTTTTTTTTTTTTAATAATCTTTACTGCCATTTTGCTATCAGCATATTTAGCATATAAATTAATTTTAATAAAAACTTTTGATTATTAAAGATTAGCAGTTATGACACATTACTTTTGGATCAACCCTGGTAATATTGAGATAGTAATATTGAGATAGTAATATTGAGATAGTAATATTGAGATAGTAATATTGAGATAGTAATATTGAGATAGTAATCTTGAGATAGTAATATTGAGATAGTAATATTGAGATAGTAATATTGAGATAGTAATCTTGAGATAGTAATCTTGAGATAGTAATCTTGAGATAGTAATCTTGAGATAGTAATATTGAGATAGTAATCTTGAGATAGTAATATTGAGATAGTAATCTTGAGATATTAATCTTGAGATAGTAATATTGAAATAGTAATCTTAAGATTTTTTAAGGTGCTTGGTTGTTTTTATAATATCTTTAAAAAATGCATTGTTGACACCTGTTTTTTTTTTATTTTATATTGTGCATAGAAATCCCATGAAGTTCAAGGACAAATGGGATATTTTTAAACGTACACATGAATTGCAAAAAGTCATGTACTTAATGGAAAAAAACTAAAAATAAGCTTTGAAATAATTATATTATGCTTTAGAAAAGCTCTTTTTGCAAAGTATAATGATTGGATTTCAAAAGTTTCCCCATGGGACATGTAATGTTGCAGCACTTGGCATAGTTCTGAAATAGAATTCTGTATTTATAGCTATTTATAGCATTTGATGAGTTAACCAGACTCGTTATGTTATTAGTTCTCTTTTTATGTGTATATTTAGAATAACTGTTACACACAAGTCACTCAAACGAGCTAGTATTCAGCAATACAAAATATCATTGCCTGCGATTAAGTAGAGCATGAACTTATTATGAACACAATGAAAGGATGATCAAACTGACAATGAGGAGATAGAAAGTAATTTGACTTTTTAAAATATTTTTACCGAATTGTCATTTTATACATACACTATACTGTGAGTTGCAATTATAAATTGGACAAAAAACAATGTAGTACCAGCTTGTATGTGGCATGCTAGAAAATTTATTAGTTTCATACGTGTTCTTTATAAAGACAATTTTCAGAGCATTTCAGTATATTAAAACAAATTAGTATTTTATTCCGAGGCAGTAATTTTCATATTCATTATAAATAAGGATGGTTTCTTTACAGTCACTTTCAATCTAAGATGATTTTCAGATCTTTTCTTTCATTTCAAGTGCAGCTTTTTGCAGTTTATCATAGATAATGCATGTTCAAATCACCTGGTCCACGTGCAAGATGTGGAGCTCATATTTATCTCGCAGGTTATCTATCTACAATATTACAGGAAAATATCATCAACAGTGTAGTGAAGACATAAAGAAATGAGACGTTCCTACGTCATGAACATGATATATAACTGTACATATAGTAAACAAGTCACATAAAGCAAAACAAAATATTAGAAAATAAGTGTCAGGTAGTAATATAAGAAATAAACAAAACATCTATTATTTTAGAGATTATTTAAAACAGATTTTTCTTCTATGACATGACTGCATGATTTAATAGCAGTGTTTGAAATTCACTGCAAAATTAGCCAGACATGCAGGACTGACTGCTAGTAAAAGTTGTCAGCCCTGCCAAAGATCTACTAGCCTGAGTAAATAATTGTCTTTTATAAATTTGTTTTTAATGATGTGACTGGAACCAGCTAGGTCACCATAACTTCGAACCAGAATCTATAGACTGATGAATTCTTCCTCTTGGCTTGTTACACTTTGCTACTGCTACTATTAGTTGATATGAAAGAGATTTATCAAATATATGACTTAATTATCGAAAATTTTAACATGTCCAGCTGGGTGTCAATACATGCAATTTTGTTCGCCCGCTGCAAAATTTGTGCAACTTGGGCAGTCGGGCGCACAGTTATTTCGAACACTGTTAATAGATTTATCAAATTTAACCATTCTGATCTAATGTTTACATTGGTTATTTAGTGCAGGCTATGCAGCATGTATTTCTGATATAATACAATTTATTTTGTAGAAATGGTAATCAGCTGGTCAACTTGGGCACAATGTCTGCCAGGTTGAATGTCCAGGCTACATCAGATGTCTTCAGGCAGACTAAGGAAACGATGAAAACGGCTCAAGAGGAGTGGACAAAAGTGAGGTTAGTGTCAGAGGAGACCACATAATCATTGATCAAGTCTGTATAGAGATTAAATTTAAAATCACATCCATACATTTTAACTGAGTTTGAAATACAGAAATACTTTGATTAACAAGAAAGAATGTAACCATAGAAACCCTTGATATTTACTTTAAGATTCTGAATTTCAACGACCATTTAATTTTGGCATTAATAGCAATAGTCTTGTCAACACTAAAAAAAAGACGTATATAATTCAATCACAGTATTGTCCCCCCCCCCCCCCCCCCCCCAAAAAAAAAAATGAAGGGTAATTTTAGAAATTGCTCAAAATTAATTACATTAAATTTACCTGTTTAAAAAGGATAAAATTGCTTCTATTGATTGCTAGAATAACCCATTATATGGTACATCCTATTTTCTTTCATTTCAAAATCCCTTGTCCATTAGAATGTTAGTTTTTGATAGAAAATACAATTAAGATGAATGAGTGAGTATGTTTGTATACCACAGTACTTCATAATGAAGTCAAGGTCATTATTATACTGGTGTACAGCATATGTTGTACCTTTTCAGGAACTTGTACATCATCCTAGCATTTCCAGTTAAACTGTTGTTTACTCGAGATAAATATTTGAGAATTGGAGCATGAAATTGATGCAGACATTTGAAAGTTTGGGTTTTTTTTCAGAGGGATGTTGTTCATTAGTCTTTTTCTTTTTTTTAAAGTGAAATTTTATCTTTTATTACATTTTTAATGGATTTTTAGTCAATATATGTTATTTCTTGCCAATTATTTTAATAGAATAATCATAAAATGTAGATAGAGAGTGGATATAAAAACTTCCTTTCTAATTCTAAATGTTGTTGTACTTAATACAACACTGATACATGTTTTATAGAAAGATTGTAGATTAAGCAAAGAAACAATTATTTCTTTATAAAAAGATCTCTTTGGGAGAATTATAGGCATATAAAAACCATAGATATTCCATTTCCATAGCCTAAAATCACAATCTAACCACTGGTAATACCGGTAGTTTCTAAATGAAAAAAAAAAGACTTACAGGAACTGTGTAGGCCTCATACTGTTGTTCTCTAACCTACAGGACTTTGAAATCAAACATGTCAGTATAATGTCATGACAACAGTAAGCTACATCTGAGAAATGAATTGCTATTTATAGGACACAGGAAATCAAACTCAATGGACGGAATGGTGTCGGCCGAAAAATCAAGAAAGTTAAACATGAATCTGAACTTAAAAACCCAATTCCACCTACACGCCAAGAGAAGGAGCGGGAATTTGACCTCAAGAATCGAATTCAAGAGGCCAAGCGTGATGTGGATATTCGACTAATGATGCAGCACAGTGCCAATAATTCTAAAGTGAACCCTATTCAGAACAGTGCAATAAAAACAAGTAAAACAACTGCTGTCGTCTCCCCCTTCACCAACAATTCATCCTCACGAAAAGTAAGTCCATCACAGTCACCGCACGAGGTGTCATCGACAACTGGCGGAGTGCCTTCCCCTTCTTATTCTTCCAGTCAGCCTGTCAAAACCACCAAAACTGCTGTCATGTCTGCACCTATCAGGTAAATAAAGTCAAAACCACTGAAACTGCTGTCATGACTGCACCTATCAGATAAATAAAGTCAAAACCACCAAAACTGCTGTCATGTCTGCACCTATCAGATAACTAAAGTCAAAACCACCAAAACTGCTGTCATGTCTGCACTTGTCAGGTAACTAAAGCACTACAGAGGCACTGCAATATAGATATATAATGTTAGGTATTGATAGAGTCTCAATGAAACATATTCTCCAACTTATCAAGTTACAGACGTTGTTTAATACTGATCACATCACAAACATACTTGTCAAGTCATGTACTGACCAGTACTAATCAAGTCTTAAAAACACACTGTTCAATACTGATCAAGTCCCAATCAGAGTTTGTCATGGAAGTGCTCAAGATCATGTTAATCAGATAGCCTTAAACTACACTATGTTTTTTTTATTGAGGCGTTTTAGTAAATACCTACACCAATGATACATCCAGCTTAACTATCTCTGAAATTTCCTCTGAAAAAACATTACTGACAACAATCCTCCTCTTTTGTTTGAAGCGGGCCTTTAATATTGAACGATCATATTCAGGATGTTTCAGGCTATACTCAGTTATGTATTGCCATTTCAGTGTTCAGTAAAAAGCCAAGATATTGAACACTGGAATCCTATAGATTTTAAGTAGGTTTTTTTTTTCTTTCAGACTATTTATTAGTAAAATAATAAAGATATGGATAGGTCTCTTGATGAAATTCCACAAAGCCTAAAGGGGTTTTATAGAAGATTTGATCTGATTACCAACCCATACTTCATATATGTGGAAGAATATTCAATTAATATAATACCTTTTTTTTGTTTCTTAAGTAAAATAAAATTAGCTGAGACAAATGATATGTGTTTGAATTATGAGACAGATATTTTGAAGCTAAAGCTATAAATTTTTTATTTTCCAGAGAAAGAATTGTCCATTTTCTTGCTCTCCGTTCATATAAGAAGCCAGAGCTTTATGTTCGTTTGATGAAGGGTAAGTATCTTTTAAAAGTGTTTAAATAAAACACTTGCATGGATTCTCATGAGACCTGGGTGATTTTTGTTCTAGTGTCATTTATGTCTTTTTAGCCTCCTAACATTTTTGCCCTTGGTTATGGGACTATCAATTTGATTACTATATTTTGCACAAAACACTTGTATGGAGAATTCAAGTATGTGCTTCTTTCAAAGGGAGATAAATTTAAAAAAAAATGACAAGGTAAAATTCAGAATTCCTTTGACAGCATCCTCAGCAATAAATTCCTGTAAGAACAGATTAGCATTATAGCCTTTGGGCCTGTTGTTAAAATAATGTATCCCATAGTGACCTAGTTTCTGTATGATATTTTTTATAATTGTGTCAGATCTGATGGTCCTGTATAATTACATAATAGCTTTCTCTAAATCTGTCAGCTGTGTACCTTATGCTTTATCAATGCTCTGTATTCTTATTCTTAATTCAGCATAAAGGTTGATGTCTTTATCATTATGTAAGGTTCTTATTTCAAAGGGCAGTGATAAAACTAGTATGTTATGCTGGCCATCTGAAAAGAGATCTATGTGAGACTAATTGAATCTTGTCCTTGGTGTGTTGGGGCATTGTAATAACTATCTGTTTCTACGGTATCCTTGTTAATTTTAATACATCAGTTGTGTGACTTTTGTACCTCAAAGCATCCTATGCATCATTATTAAATAGGACTAATGGCTGTTGTTTGTGACTTTTATGAAGCTGACACTCGGTTTTAAATCTGATACACAGTGACATCTGCGATTCTGTCAACATCTGATATGTCTGTATGATGATAACTATTTAGGGTATTGAAAGTGATTAATTGGATATTCATTGTATTTTTACATGTATCTGCATCAAGAACAACATAATGGTTTAAACAAGATAACGTTTTAAAGAAAAAAAAACATTAATGAATTATAAGGTCAGTTTGTGAGAATTAAATTGTTTTTAAAGATAAATGATTTTGATAGGTTCAGATTATTTAAGTTGTATTAATTTGTGAGAATCAAGTTTTCTGCAAAGATATATGACTTTGATAGGTCAGGGTCATTTAAGTTGTATTAATAATGAAAGTGGTACGAAGTAGAGAAATCCATAAAAGAAATATTTTATTTCTAACATTTGTTTAATAATTAATGCTAGCCACAACAGGTTATTTCACATTTCACAGTTGTACACATGAATATTTATATATTCCACATCGACATTTTCACTTGCCTTAACAAAAGCCCTGTTTATTTTCAATTTTCTGAAATGTCAATCATTACTACCAAATTTGAGTGATATAATCCATTCGTATTATTTATAGTATGTATGGAATTTCATTGTTAGTTCATAGGCTAATACAAAGTTTGACTTCAATAGTTAATGTAGGTGTTCAATTTAGGTCAACTATATTATTTTCAAAACTATTGCCATATATAAGTATTATAGTAACTATGGTCTCCAGGTTTCCAAATTAAGTCATTTATTAACCTTGAGAACTATAGACTTGGAAGTTCTGGTAGTATATTCCTTATTTTCAGAGTTCAGATTTTTATTGTAAATACATGTATAATTCACAAATGTTTCTGAATGAGACTGAATGTTTTGTAGATGGTTTGAGTGATGCTGATCGTAAGGAATACAGTACCTTTAATTTAGAGGATATAGCTGTTCTAAACCCGAAAGATAACCGATACTCTCTGTCAAAGCATGCCTTCTCCGAGGTCAAACTGGATTGGCATTACTACACTGACCATGAAAGAGAACTGGTCAGAAAGTAAGTAGTCACAAAGAAGTATAGTCAAGAAAGAATGGTATGGTCACAAAGTGGTATAGTTAAAAAAGAATGGGATAGTCACAAAGTGGTATAGCTAAGAAGGAAAGGGATAGTCGCAAAGTGGTATAGCTAAGAAGGAAAGGGATAGTCACAAAGTGGTATAGTTAAGAAAGAACAGGATGGTCACAGAGTGGTGTAGTTAAGAAGGAAAGGGATAGTCACAAAGTGGCATAGTTAAGAAAGAATGGGATGGTCACAGAGTGGTATAGTTAAGAAGGAAAGGGATAGTGACAAAGTGGTATAGTTAAGAAAGAATGGGATAGTCACAAAAAGGTATAGTAAAGAAAGAATGGGATGGTCACAAAGTGGCGTAGTATAGAAAAGATAGGATAGGTTTCATGTCTTATAGATATTATATTGACAAAAAAGGATAGAGACAATTGTTTAGAATACTAAAATATAGGCTGTTAGATATATTGTGGTCAGTAGCAGAGTACTGAGGATGATGTATATTTCCTGTTTATCAGTTAATTATACATGTATGAGTGATTGTCTTAAAATTGCACAAAAAGAATACCCATCCATATGTTGATTTCTGCTGTATAAGCTTTGACAGTAATTGGAAAGATATTGATGATAGTCTCACACAAGATAGCAATGCTTGTATCTGAATTGCAAAAAGAGGGTTTATGGTGAAATACACAACATTTGATTCTCTGAAGATTTACAGTTATTGAAATTTGATTTGTTTTCTTCCAGCTCACTATCAGCTCTGTAATTGGAGGTTATTGAGATGAGAATTAGATTAATACTTGATGTCAGTTAGAATTTCCTCTGTTACATCCTGTTCTCTGTCTCTGAGGAACCTCAGAACGGGGTGACCTTCCTGTTGTTCAATTCAAGTTTTCACTTTTTCCTGTGTAAAAAGATCATTGGCCCTTTTCACAAAAAAATTTACGATTGATTTTCATTGTAAGAGATCTCAATTTTATTTCTTTTCACAAAATTTCTTACAAGAAACTTGTGTGTAAAATTTGTCATAACTTTAGGAGAGTTCTGTATGTGTGTAATCTAAAACTAACTTTGGACATTTAATCATAGGTGATATGGCCAAATCAGGTCATTCAAAGATCTTAAAGGTCAATTACAAGTCTGCCAGTGCTAACAGAATTTCTTAAACAACTAGCCTTGATAAATACACATATATCTATATGGGCAGTTAGTGGATGTACGGTACTGATGATAGGTATAAAAAGGCTTTAATCAGGTGTTAAATTTACATTTTAATGAGAATCAGTATTGTATACCATAATGAGAACAATTGCTTTATTTCAGGAAGCTACAAAGTTTGTCTCCAGCATCTTCCCCTGCCACATGTCAGCCATCTCCCAAAGCCAGTCCAACAAGTAGTACACAGGTAAAAATAATAAAATATCTCATCTCATACCCCTCCCTTGCACAGGTTTACAACAAACTACAAAACTACAGTAAACCTCATTATCCTGAACTTGATGGAACCGAGAAAAAAAACTCAGAGATATCTATGAACAGAAATATTGAGGTTAAAATCATAGAAAAAGAATGGTTGGGCCTTTTAACTCACTTTGACATATCCATAATATTCGAGATATCGAAGTTTAAGATAATGAAGTTCAACTGTAACATGGCACCCTGAGCACGGCTAGCACAATGCACCCATCTGCTGAAGCAACCCCAACACTATCTCCATCTCAATCTACAAGTACACAGGTTCTCCATCCCTTATCTCTTAAAGCCAGTTGTACAAATTTTACACAACAACAGATGAGATACCTTTCTTCCTCCTTAGAATCTTCTAATGCACCCTACAAATACATAGTACCTAGAGTATAGGTAATCTTACCCATTCCCTGTTCCCAAACACCCCAACCCCATCTTCTCAGCTTGTTTGAATATCAATACAAAAAACAGGCACAGGTGAAAAAAAATGTAATTTATATAGAGCCCGTTAACTAATGCAGAGTACCCTTTATTTTGACAAAGTTTTTTGGACACACTCCACTAAGCACATGTCACATGAAAAGTTAAATTAATGTGAAATATAAAATGTAAATCCTGTTTTATGTGGAGCAGTTTCAATCTTTATTTCAATATATATTTATAGAAAAGGCCATGTGAACAGCCAGAACAAAATCAGCCATCAAAAAAACAGCGCATATCCCACTACCGCAAGGAAAACAGGCCAGCACTGACGGAAACGGCAGAAAACCGAGAGTCTGTCGGAAACGACCGCACTCATAAAAAGGAAAATATCGATGGTAAATAGCTTCAGTTTTAGTTGTGTATGAGTTAGTAATGAAGGGGTACAGTCTTATAAACAGTTGGTCGGGATTTGTCTCTTTGAGAGGGTACAAATGATGTAGCTTAAATAAGAGGGATTTTGGTTGTGATCTCTGTAGAGTTGACTGATTGCTTTCTTTAGTTTGTCCCTCTGGAGTGTTTTTTTTTCAGTGTTTTCTGAAGCTTGTCAGATGCTGCTGCCTACATTAAATAACCACAAGGATATGCATTTCAAATAAAATAGCAATAAAAACCCAGCATAACGATTTATATAAACCCTGATCAGGCGACGATCTTCATTATAACTCAAAATATCACAAATATCAGTGATTAAATATTCACTTGTCTAGTATTTCAGACACTCTCCATTTCATTCATGATTGTTTAAGCTTGATATTCTTGGAAAAAGATCACCAGAATTAGACAATCCCTTGTTTCTGATCTGTAGGTTGAATCAACTAGATTTTACATTTGTTAGAGTGCCTTACATGTTTCATAAGTAAACAATTTGTAACAGGTTTTTTAGTGAATGAACATTATGTGTATTCAGCAATTTTTTATTGATTTTCTGTTTTATTCCTGAGATCAGTGACATGAGCACTACTTGGCTGTCCTCTTAATGTTTGCATAAAAACATGCACAAGCTTGAATACAAAAAGTCATTCACATCTTTGAATATGAAGAAGGGATGTATTCATGTACTTCAAGATTGGAAATTTATTGTCAGTAAAATTATTTAAATACGAAGGTGTAAATCTGGCCATAGATAGGAATGCCCATGGAATCTACAAAAAATGAACTCCATTGAAATATAAATTGCCAAAGTTTTCAAATTATTGTAATCATTGCCTAAACTGTCATAATAATCATCATACCAAGTGTAAGCAAATGTATCAACATTGGGATTTTCCTTTCAGATTCTGCTGATGAAGCCTCCTCCACGTCGGAGACCCCGGATTATTTCCTGTAAGTAAAAATAAATAGAGGATATTCAATGTTTTGTTGTTGGATATGGAATTTATTTCACCAATGGGAAAGGATTTTATTTTATTTTCATGAATGCGAAGCACGAGTGAAAATATTTTAAAAAATCCTGTCTTACGAGTGAAATAAATTCCATATCCAACTAAAAAACATTGAATTTTCTGTTTATTACATTTTCTTTGATTTCCCATTGCCCCTGTCTTTCTTAACACTGTGTTATAGGTTGTGATGTTATAGTTGAACAGTTGAGACATCATAACTTAGCAGTTGTGAGATTGAAAACATTGTAACATGGATTTTAACAATATATTTAGGAGTAAAGGACAAGGTATGGTCACGGCCGAATCTGGCCCCTTATTTGATGTAAAAATCAGAAGACAGTTAAAACTGTGATAGTTTGTAGTTAAGAACTTAAAATGATGCTTGTTTTAAAACCAGCACTAATTTTGATTCAAAGCTTACACGGAGGCCACAAGAGGGTGCAGAAGTAGGACATTTTCCCGAATTTCCTAAATTCTGGTGGAATTTTGTCAAATTTGAGATACTTTTCACTTCTGAGATTTTTATACACAAGATTCATCTGATACTAGTTTATGAAATATATCAATTTGGTAGGTAGGCAAGCTTGTGCTCAATGTTTTCTGAAACTAAATGTGCTGTAAAATCAATGAAAAATTGCATAAAAATGAGAAAATTCAGAAATTGACATATTTTCTGACCTTCTTGTGACCTCTTTGTACCCCAAAACTTAGAACCAATATTAATTTTGTGGCAGGGGTGACAACAGGTTTTTATTGATAAACTGTTGCATCAATCTGAAAGGCAACCCAAACCAGGGGCCAAAAAGGGGTCTTAGCCTATCTTGTCCTTTAGAGTTTTAGTCTCTATCAAGATGGTTTAGTTACTGTCTGTCTTAATTAATTTTACTTACTTTGATATCCTTTCACACTGACAGAATAGCATTTTGGTGTCATTTCACACTGTAAAAGAATATCACTTTTATTCAATAAATAAATCACAGTATTTCACTATGGAAATTGTAATAAAAATTGATACACCAATGTCATATATATCATCTCAGAGCAAGATTTATGTCCTTACACATAGGGAATTATTTTTATATCATATGAACAGATGATAATCCGCAATCTGATTGATGAAGAGGTTTATCTTTCAATTAATAAAACTTCATATTTTACCAAATAATTTATCCAAACTGTTAAAAGGAATGTGATGGTCTGGTTTTATTTGCTTACCAGGGGCCTGCTCTACAAAAGAACTTAGGACAGACTAAAAACTTTAGTTGTTTGTGAAATTTTGTAAAATTAATGCTTCTATTAAAAATTGTTTGCATAGAAATATCTATCGAACTTTTTATAAAGGTCAGATCCATTTTCAAATTAATGTAGAAAAGAAAGTTATTAGGAAAATCATATTTTGGTCTTAGTCATAAGTTCTTTAGTAAAACACAACCCTGAGCTACTGGCTCAAGTGAGCTTTTCTGACCAAAAATTGTCGGGATTATAAAAGACTTATAGAGAAAGAAAGTCTGTAAAGAATAGTTTTGCTTCATTTAAACTTTGAGATATTTTTACACAACCAGTTGGGCTACCTTGAAGCAAAATAAACTAGACTAGACCAGACTTTTACTACCAGAGTTGGTCAGAAATGCCTTAATATGGAGTCCTAAAATTGAATGTAATTTAAATTGCTTTAAAAAAAATAATGAAACCATCATCAAGTATAACATAATGAGTTGTAATCATTGCTTCCTTATCTTGTAGTAAATACATAGCAATATCTAGTGGACCCCAGAGAGCCAAATATAAACAAGACTTTAATACAGAGTATCAGGAATACCGTGACTTACATGACAACGTTGAGAAAGTGACAAGAAAGTTTGCTGACCTTGAGACATTAATGAAACGAACTCAGCCGGGTACCGAAGAGTTTGAAGTAAGTATTGGGTTATTTTAGGCTGGTTTAGAGTGCTGGTATAGATCAAAAAACCTATAACTTACATCTGTGTAATTTCATTTTTAAATGACTTGGTGTTCAAGAGTGCAGGAAATTACCGAAAAGGAATTTTTTTTTCCCTTTAAGTTAACAAAAATTGGTAATTATCTGAGTTTCTTTGATTTTTTTTCCCCAAAAAGATGAAATATTTGTGAGGTAACAGTAGTTTTTTTTAATCTGCTCCTTCGTTTTGATGTTTGAATAACGGGGACTGTATCCTTTCCTAACAGAATCTTAAGAATAGAATACGACAGGAATATAAGTACCAGAAAGATGATCACAAATACATGGAACAGAAAAAACGATTTGAGTACCTACACAAAAAACTGGGTCACATAAAACGCCTGATTCTGGACTATGATAACAGTCAGCCAACAATGTCATAGCTGTGGAGTCTGGCAGAGTTATGTCCCTTGCTGTAACTGACCTGACCGTGCCTGCTGACTGTGATTCCATAAATAGCCTTATAAAGGTACAACTTTTCCTCCAAAGATCCTCCTGATGAACGGGGGATTCAGCCATCTGGGTGCCTCTGTTTGTATGTTTGTTTGTTTGGTGAGTCACAAGGTGGCAGACATTTTTGTTCTGGTGATTGCCCTGGTTGTATGTCGAAAAATGTGATATTCTTTAATCTTTGTGTACATTTTTGACAAAGGTACATAACAGTAAGATACACATGTCAGAATGGCAGTATAATATTGTTATGTCCTCTGTTTAATGTTATGATGTAATGATGTTAATATGGCATTAGAGATTATTGATTGTGCTAAGCTCACAGCCATTTTTGCAATAGAGGGCAAAATTTGTTCTTTTACTAATTATTATTGCATGACATTGTAAGGCATGACGAGGCTTTTTGCAGAAAGGGACATTTTTTCTGCCGAGACTTAATATTTTTGTGATTTGCCCAATTATGTATTCTCCGTAATGATAACCTGATTGCCCATGGATCTGACCTAGAAATTGAAAAAAATTGTTGCAAACATATCCCAGATTTTCCATGAAGACTTGTCAAGGCCATTGTGATCTGTAGGTACTTTTTTAGAAGAAATAGATCTATAATCATGTAATGATTGATCTGGACGAGAATAATTTGTACATCTCTTCAGTTGATTGTATGTTTAACATTCAGATCTCATGGTGAAAAGCTAATTAATTTTTGCATAATTAATTTGTAAACTGATGGTATCTGAGTTTGTACATAGCAGTTTTGTTTGTGTTGATATTTTAATGTGTTGACATTCAATGTTTGGATGTTAGTGCTATATTTAAGATCATTCAGCGTCAAGTGCCTTATAATTCCCTGTTATACAACTGTTCCTATATATGACATTACCACAATTTTTGTTCAACATTTGTTATTAATTTATTTTGTTGTTTATTTGGATATATTTCCTTGTATTGTGGTGAAATTTCAACTGTTAAACCTTTCAAACTTTGTCTCGGCATTTATATGCAAATAGGAATTTTTTTCAATTAATTACCAAACTTTTTCTGTAATTCTGGTATGCATTCATAATTCTTATATAACATTTAATCAAAGTGACAAAAATATTGTGAACTTACAAGCTGTGACACTACCCATAAAATTCTTAGCAAAATAATTTGTAATGATCTCAAATATTGCAACTTTAAACACTTGGCACAAATTGTACTGGCTTAGATTTTTATGCACAAGCAGTCAAAGGGAGAGAATTCACTTCTTTTTCCACAGTGACATTAATCAACAGATGCTGAAGTTGAAGGCTAGTGTACATATTTATTCAGAAACATTATCAATTGTTTTGTGTCAAATTATTGCACCATTTTTGTCAAATTTCTCATGAATGAATGGCAGATATCCAATCTCTCCATAAAAATACTTAAAAAAAATTGTAAAAGATGAAAAAGGTTATATACAATGTATATACATTTAAAAAATTGCAAAAAAGGAGAAATTGGGTATCAATGCAAAAGTTCATAAAACAGGAAATTCAGGTATTTTCATTAAAAGAAATAAATTCTAGTGATAATATTTTAACATAATGATTTTAATGAAAGAAAGTTGATGAAATTTGATTTCATCACACAGATATTACACAATTTCCTGCTTTATGAGGAAACGAAGTTCATATGTAAGAGGGGAGGTGGTTGATAAATTGTGATGCATTTGATTTGTGAGAATTTACCAATCAAATTTGATTATTTTAAAATATGAGGTTGTACAACATATTATTTAAGCTCAACTTGGACCAAAGACAAGAAAACTAAGTATAAAGTACTCCATGCCACATCCCATAGCTGCCATAATACTTGATACAAGTTGGGAAATGTGAAATAATTATCATTCTGTTCAAGATTTGCTACATGTAGATAGATAGATGTAAAATATCAAAGATCAGTCATTTAAGAAAGAATCTGATGCAAAATAAAAGTGCATCCTCACCTCACTAGAGTAAAAAGTCTTGGAAGTTTTCATGGAAAAGTGTGTGACATTTTTTTTCTCTCTATTTATTGTGTGTGATGTGTGCCTGAATGAATGAAGCTTTCTGTATTCTGAGTGTCTCTGAGCATCTTGCCATTTCTGGTGAGATTTTGGATCTGTGTTGTGACATCTCAATGCTGTGCTTACACTTAATTCTTTACCTTTTGTAATTTCTCCCCTTCACAATGTATCTTCTTAGCATAAGGTAGAAAAAAATAATATATAATCATAGATCTTCATTATTGTACAGATTGTAGGAAGACAAGTTGTAAATACATCAGCTGTTCAGATCTGCTGGTTTGAAGGGGAAAAGCTGTTCAGTTTATGCTATTTATGTTAGGTATAACTGATAAATGGAAGAAAGAATTTTAGAAAGGGAGAGTAATAAATGATAAAAAAAAATGATCAAGGGTACACATAATATAATGTTTATTAATCATTTAGAAATAGGTAGGGGATTATTGTTCTTGATACGAGTGCTAGAAGAAAAATGGACCATATTTGACACAAACATGAACTCCACCCCTAACACATGACAAGAAGAAATATCAAGGTCTACTGTATAATTTGATGTAACACATTTTTCTTTGCTCAACAGACATGATTCAGAACTAATCATGTTTTTATGCCTGTTGGTTGTTTTAGAATGAATTTGTAAATATGTTCATGAATTCAGTGAAATTGTAAATAAAAAAATGTTTGAGATACACAACTAGTATTTAAAAATGACTCAAGTACATAAACATTTTTTGGGATGAATTTTGTTTGCATGCTGTTTGCAGATTTTTTTTGTTTAAAACCTATATCATCACATTCCACGTTTGTATAAATAGTCTGGACAAGCATTCCAAAGATCAAACCAGTGTGTACTAACAGACAATTATAAATAGTTCAGATAAAGAAAGGAAAATCCCTCAGACTGGAGGATTTATCTGATGTTTTGTTTGATTTCAAGTTTTACTTTTTTGGAATTAGATTAAGATTTGATTATTTTCTGATACAAAGCACAGAAGTTGTACATTGATGTTATAGATGTTGATGAATGGCAGATGTATACTAGGGATATCACACCCTCTGTTTTTCACATTATCATTCTGTACGCAGAGCTGTTATGCTGATGTCGGCATGTGTTGTATATTGAGTGTCACATGGTAAATTTGACATGTCGCACATGAATAACTATTTTTACATGCTGCACATGGTCAAATGTTATACAGTATACCATGTGATGCACATGGCATGGTAAATGTTATCTTCAATAAACAAATGCATTGAAAAATCTGGTGTTCTCTATATTTTTTCTGCAGTGATTGATGCCAGAGTACCCTGCAATTGTAAAGTGCCCATCCATCAGGTATTGTCGGTGAACTTTTAACTCACCTGAGCCAAAGACAATCTCAAATTTCTAAATAGATGTATTTATCTATAATGCACAGTTAAAAGTACATCACTGAGGGAGTTGGCAAGATTCCCCAAGAACAGGACTAGTTCCCGAGGCGAAACTGAGGAAAGTAGTCCTGATCAAACGGAATGGGAATCTTGCTAACTCCCTCAATTATATACTTTTAACTGTTTTACTATACATATTTCAAAGCATGGATGAGCTTACTTGATTAATTCATGGCAAAACGGGATAAGTCCAGCTTGCTTGACTATTTAAAATCATGGCAAAATGGAGATTAGTCTATTCATAGACTTGTTTCTAGTTAATTATTAACTTCCAAAGATCTAATTTTACATAAGAAAAAAGGTATAATAACAGGTTAAAGCCCATCATTTACAAATTTCAAGGTTAAAGCATAAGGGCCTTGTTGACTCCAAAGGTACTACATGCTATAAAAATACCTTGTTAAGTACCGGTAGTAAGTTGCATTAAGTGACCAATAACAATTAAGGTAAAATTTAAAGGACAGTGGTGGTACAGGTTGTAAACACCTAATCGTGCTTAAACGTAAAATTAAGTGAGAGATAAGAAATAAACGCTTCATTACAAGACGTAAGTGATTCAAGGTCAAAGGTAAAGGTTAGTTTCGATGATATTGTATAGGAAACCAAAGGATTTATAGGATTTATCTATATGTAAAATGAAAAGATATAGATCTGAAAAATAGTCATCCACACCAGAAGAAGTATGTTGTAATTTACCAACTACTAGGTCAAAGGTCACAACTAAAGTTAACCTCACTACATGTAGATCCTGATTTACTTTACAATTAAGTTAAAAATTATTATTATGATAATATATCATCCTGAACAGAGTCGACGGTGGAGCGTTCGCTCTAGAGTCGCAGAGTAAGGAGTTGATTCTTACGTCGCGGGTTCGAATCCCACTGTGGGACATGGAGACCGGTCCTTCGAATGAGACCGTATCAACCGAGGTCCCCGTGTCGCAGTAGATGCTGGCACGAAAAAGATCCCTCACTGCTCAATGGCCTGAGTGCCGAGTACAGGTCAAAATGTGCAGCTCTCCACCGGCAAATGGTGGCGTCTCCATACGAGTGAAAATTTCTCGAGAGGGACGTTAAGCAATACACAGACAAACAAACATCCTAAACAGAGTTCAACATTTGCATGTATATCGTTTACAAATCTCAAGTTCAAAGGTCAAGGTCAGTTATTAAGTTCCCTGGTGGTATTTAAAACGTAATGACTTCATTCATCTACCCATTCTAATTATCACCACCCAACTTCATCATTTTCACAGATATTGGAAAGAAATTTTTACTGATATTGGAAAGAAAGAAACCATAAATTTACCAAAGTTAAGGTCAAAGGTCGTGTTCAGCTTTGATGTTGGTACTCGAAATATATGATTTACCTTATTGAGATTTTAGAAGAAGTGGATAGAGAAGATGATCCTCAACAGAGACGAATAACAATCACTAGTTGGGGGCATTCATATTTCACATGTGTATTCCTTGTGACAAATCTTTTCTTTGGGTACCAACATATTTGAAATCTAGACCTTAGGGTTTGACCTACTTTTGTAAAATTTTACTAAACTCTAACCCTGGCTGAACTTTTGAATGATTGGTGCTAGGGCTTTTATATTTCACATGTGTATACCATATTACAAGGCCTTTCTTTCGGTAACAGTATTTCTTACCTTGACCCAGACTATGACCTTCTTTTGAAAAACTTTAACCTTTGCCATAATTTTTGAATGGTTGATGCTAGGGCTTTCGTGTATAATATATGTATTTCTTGTGACAAATCCTTCCTTTTGGTACATGTACCAAAGCTTTTTACCTCCTGACCTTGAACTTTGAGTTTGACCTACATTTGTAAAACCTTTACTCTTGCCTATATAATTTCTGAATGGTTAGTGCTAGGGCTCTCATATTTTACTTATTTGTCCTTACTGATAAGACCTCTTCTAGTTTGTTGAGTATGCAAGAGCACTGGGATAATATGTAAATGAAAATCAAAAATGCTGTCTCATTGAAATTATATAAGAAGCATTAATTCCATGTAATTCCCATAGTCCCTGCCCACTGACTTCAGACACAATGAACTACCCGGGAATATTGACATGCATATAAATAAATAATAATCACTTGACCTTATATCAGTTGTAAATATATTTACACCCCCTAATTATTATCTCCATTATTTCTTTAACGGGCTACGTGTATAAGGCACTAATAATACCTAATAATACACGTGAAATAGAAAGCCCTATATCTAGCAACAACCATTCAGACAATATTAAAGTTTTTCAAGAGTAAGTCATACTCCAAGGTCATGGGGTGAAAAAAAAATGATACCAAGAGTGATTGCTTAAACACCACCATTGAAGTTTACCTTGATATTTGATCCAGCTCCCTACATAAGATAAGTTGTTTTATGCACTGTACTAAAATTATACTTGACATTTGCATATACCCTCAATTTGAATAATTGATGAAAAAATGAATATTTTACATTTTCTATGTTTTTCTACCTATAACTAACTATAAAATCAATTGGAATGCCATTATTGTGTACATACTCACGCTAGTCTTAGAAACATACAAGAAAAAATCGCGTTCTGAAAGTGAGGCTACAGAGACGTTGATAATAATACATGTATAACGATAGGTCACCAAGAAATTCAAACATTGAGTATATTTTTGGTGCTTTGTAAATAAAAGGAATTTTTTAAGTTCAGTGTGTATTATTGGTGTGTAAATCACCCAGACTTGCAGTAGGCATATTTTTCATCAAGCGCTAGCGCACTATTAGAACGCTGCCATGCATGTGCCTACTTGACAAGTCAGTGTGAATTACACACCAATAACTCACACAGAACTTAACAACATTCCTTAAATATGATTGAGAATATTTTAATGTTTGCTTAACTCAGAAACTGTCTACACTCTGTAAAACTTTTTTTCCTATTATTATTACTCGATTATTTCGAGCTCAAACCAGCTCAAGCCAGAACGGTCTGCCACTGTCTTTGGTCTTGCATGCAGACAAGCAGCTCCCTCAAGTTCAGCGTGTCAAGGGAGGTGCCTGCCGGTCGTCCCCTTGAGCTGCCAACCTCAGCCTTCTTACCCTTATTTTGGTTGAGATTTGTGGTAGGTTCCAATATAGCTGTTCATTTGTGATCTGTTCCTTCCAACCGGTATTCAGTTATTCCCTAAGCATTTTTTGTGTAGCGGCCGTCAAGCTCATTTTCATGCTTTTTGCTTTTAAAAGCTCCATGTTTCACTGCCATTTATTCGTAAGTAGCGATACAGCTACCACTGTTGATATAGGTATTCTAATCTTTAAGGCTCAGGTTTGACGATACAGCTACCACTGTTGATATAGGTATTCTAATATTTAAGGCTCAGGTTTGACTTCCAGATCTTGTCCATGTTGTTGCTAAACGAAATCAGTACGCTACTCATAAACTCGCAACTAAAAGAGCGCTTCTAGAACGAAAAGCTACACTAAATATAGACATTAAAGGACTTATCCCATGTTTCTAAATTATTTGAAGTTAAAAGCGTAAAACGTTCCTCATTTCATTTCATTTCATTTTATTCACTCACACCAACATCAGTGGTACATGAGGTACAATAAATTAGTCGTCATAATTGGGACAAAAATAATAAATATAATTATGATACAATAGCATAAATGAGGGGCATATACATATGTACATAGTATAGCAATAAACATACAATGAAAGAAGAAAAGAAGAAAAAAAAATGGTATGATAACATTTAAATTATGGAGGACAGACGGTGTCGTTTATTTTAGATATAAATATACAAAGGTTTTTTAAAGTTTTTAAGTTTGTCGTTGACATAATTTCAGAAAACTTAAGTGTATTCGGCGTTTTACAAAATCTGGGATGTAAAAGATTCTTTCTGATGCTGTTCAATGTTTTACATTCTAGGATGAAATGATATTCGTCTGCAATTTGCCCTGTATTACACAATTTACAAACTCTTTCATCCAGTGGAATATTTAACCATCTGCCAGTTTCAATTGGGAGGTGGTGGTTTGAAGTTCTAAATTTTATTAGTATTTTTTGGAGTTTACTAGGTAAAATACTTAGATATTTTTCAAATCCAAAATCACTCTTAAAAATTTTGTAAATTTGACCTTTTGATGAATCATTTATATCACTATGCCATTTTTGAATAAATTGGTCGCTTAATCTTTGCTTCACTGCTGCAAGTACCCAATTCCTGTCAATGGGACTATGTTCATACCAAATGTTGGAGAACCCACAAGAGGTTAAAATTTTATAAATGAAATCTACCCATAGGTTTTTTGGACCTCCTTGAAAATATTGAGAACATAGATATTTATACAAAACACAAACTATTTTGTTTTCTAAAGAATTCGGGGTAAGTAATTTTAACCAGTAGGAGATCATTCTTGTATAAATATTAATATACAATGGGAATCGCCCAGTCTCCCCATACACCATATACGAGGGCGTACTACTCTTTAAATGGAAAATGTGTTTTAAAAATTTTAAATGTACACGTTCAATGATGTCGAGATTTTCATAACCCCAAATTTCACAGCCATAAGTCAAAATTGGAACAACAACTTTATCAAAAAGATCTAACTGACATTCAATTGGTAAGTTAAATTGTCTTATCTTCCTTATAACACCATACATTGCTTTCTGTGCTTGTTCACATAAATGTTTTTTGGCCTTACAAAATGAACCTGAGCGTGAAAATATTATCCCAAGATACTTGAATTCTTTTACATTTTCAATTGCATTATTATTATAATAAAATACCTTTTTTGACATTGGTCCTTTAGAAAACACTAGAATTTCTGTCT